GGGGAGGACCTTAGGTCCCCTCCCCTTTTTAGTATTTAGGGCCCCCACCCGCCGCTCAGGGGTGGGGGCCAGGGGGGAGGACCTTAGGTCCCCCCCATTGTGATTTATTTGCCCCCACCCACCGCTCAGGGGTGGGGCCGGGGGGGAGGACATTAGGTCCCCCACCCTTTTTAGTATTTAGGGCCCCCACCCGCCGCTCAGGGGTGGGGGCCAGGGGGGAGGACCTTAGGTCCCCCCCATTTTTAGTATTTAGGGCCCCCACCCACCGCTCAGGGGTGGGGGCCAGGGGGGAGGACCTTAGGTCCCCCCCATTTTTAGTATTTAGGGCCCCCACCCACCGCTCAGGGGTGGGAGCCAGGGGGGAGGACCTTAGGTCCCCCCCTTCTTAGTAACTAAATTTTTAAGTTTTTATCTCCTGCTTTGTAAATTGAACATTAATTACATACAATAGGCTCCTGCTCGGTCTAGCAAGCTATTAACAGGGCTGGAGATAAAAAATTCTAAATTAAACAGAATTTGTAATAAAGGAAGTGTAAACATTAGATTAGGAAGTGTTTAGGAAGGTTGTGCAAGTCACATGCAGGGAGGTGTGACTAGGGTTGTATAAACAAAGTGATTTATCTCCTAAATTGCAGGGAAATGAGCGGTGAGACTGCAGAGACATGATCTATACACCAAAACTGCTTCATTAAGATAAAGTTGTTCTGCTGACTCTAGTGTCCCTTTAACTAATTTAATTGTCAGCCAGTCCACATCACTGTTGTTCTCCTACATCCCTCTTACTTTTCCATACTTAAGCAAGAGCATGTGAAAAGTAAAAATCAATGGGCCTATTCCATAGGCATGGGCCTAGAGCTGCAGCTCCATCAGCCCCTATGTTAATCCGGTCCTGGCTAATGGCAATGACCTGGGTCATATGCATTCAGTAGATTTAGTAAGGGCAATAAAGATGGATTTAGCTAGGATTTTTGCTTAATTTTCTCAGATTACTTTGGGTTACACTGTCCAGGCTAGTTTTCATTGGGTAATGTGACGGCCCTAGAGAAAGCTAGATGCAAGTTGAATTATTCAGTGTCACAGTTGGTGCGTAGATCCGGGGTATGGTTGTTCATCATTTTGAGCAGGAGGAGGAGAAAAGGGACCTTAAGAGATGGGATGGAGTTAATTTACCAACCTTGGTCTCTACACATTTAATACAGGCTTGCAGATGAGGATTGAGAGGGCACTGGGAGAAACAAAGCATGGTCCTGTCAGGGTACAAACAGGCTGCTGTAGTGGAAGTTTATCCTAGCCAGCGCCTTGAATTTGAGCATTTGGAGAGGGAGTTCTTGACATAGGAGGTTAACAGGAACTGAACTCTGGTTGGAGAAAACCTGCCTAGAGGTCCATCATTAGAAGTTCATCACTCAGGCAAGCGCACTGAGAGTAGTACATGCAGGAAGCACTGTGCTCCATGCAGGGTTCAAGTGCTCTAAATATAGCTCGAGTATGTCTTTTGATGAGCTTGTGCTATGATCGTTGGAGACAGTTTTCTGGAGTCCCCAAAAGCGGGACCCGAAAATTAGGACTGTCCCACCGAATTCGGTTATTATTATTGTTATTATGATATTTATAGAGCGCTGTCAAATTCCGCAGTGCTTTACAATGGGTGGACGAACAGACATGTAGTTGTAACCAGACAAGTTGGACACACAGGAACAGAGGGGTTGAGGGCCCTGCTCAATGATCTTACATGCTAGAGGGAGTGGGGTAAAATGACACAAAAAGGTAAGGATAGTATTAGACTAGTGACAGTTGCAGAAGAGGAATCAGTCAGGAGCTATTAACAGTTTAATTGATACGCTTTTATGAAGAAGTGGGTTTTTAACGATTTTTTGAAGGAGTGGAGACTGGGTGAGGATCTAACGGAGGAGGGAAGCGAGTTCCACAGGAACGGTTCAGCCCTCGAGAAATCTTGAAGGTGAGCATCAGAGGTGGGAGTACGGACAGAAGATAGACGTAAGTCTTCAGCAGATCGTAAGGGCCTAGACGGGACATACTTGTGTATAAGGGAGGATAGATAGGTGGGAGCAGCATTATGTAGCGATTTGAAAGCAAGAACCAGAATTTTAAATTGAGCTCTATATTTTATAGGAAGCCAGTGTAGGGATTGACAGAGGGGTGAGGCATGGGAGGTGCGGGCGCGCAGGAAGATGAGCCTTGCTGCCGCATTCATTATGGACTGTAACGGCGCTAGTTGGGAGCATGTAAGACCACTGAGAAGTGGATTACAGTAGTCAAGGCGAGAAAGGACAGTGGAATGGACCAACACCTTAGTCGCATCTAGCGTTAAGTAGGGGCGGATGCGCGCAATGTTTTTTAGATGGAAATAACAGGATTTGGCGATAGATTGAATATGAGGGTTGGAGGAGAGGTCCGAGTCAAAGAGAACACCTAGGCAGCGAGCCTGCGTGGTGGAGCTGATGGTAGCACCGTTGACTTGGAGGGAGACAGACACAGGAGTAACAACACTTGAGGGAGGAAAGACCAGAATTTCAGTTTTAGTCAAGTTTAATTTAAGGAAGTGGGCAACCATCCAGTTAGAAACAGCAGAGAGGCAGTCAGAGACACTAGTCAAGAGGGACTGGGAGAGATCAGGAGAGGACAGTTGGTTAAAAGGCATGCATACAATCCAATGAGTCCAAATCTTTTTCTATTGGTCCATATGCCCAAGAGAGGCCATAGAAAGCTCCTCCGCCGACCTAGCAAATGGTTACACGAGGCTTTCTCCCAAAAGGAAGCAATGTGATAGGACTTTTAGTGTAATGTTCTGTAAGACCCACCAGAATATGAATACAAAGCATAGCTCTGACTTGGCGATTTCACAGCTTTAGGTCTAAATTCTGTTATAAGAGATAAGCATATCTCTAGTAAATGAACAGCAATTTTCCCATAGCTGACAATGGGAAATTTGTGTTTCAATTACTAGAATCTGGTAATCTGGTTTATCTTTCGCAATAGAATCCGGCCCTTACAGAAATATCTACAAATAAATGTAAACATATGATTTTGCATTAAATGCTGTTGAATGTTATAATTTATCCACAATTGTTATATCTTGTGGAGTATAATTAAATTACATTGTTGGAATGAGAGGGTATTAATTTCTTTCTTTCCCCGATATGTTTTCTAAATGAGGTTATCACTGAAATCTTCTCCCTCTGAATCAGTTTCAACAATATACTCAACAGATTCATGTTATTTTTTTCTAACCATACTATATTAACTTCAGCTTGAAGATTTCACAATGTTCCAGTGTGGAAGTGGCCATCCTGGGAAAAATCATCACTATTTTCTAACTTTCACTAACAGGTACTGAGTGGGCTCACCGGATATGTATATAGTGTGATCATGCACTGCCTATGCCAGTGATGGCGAATCTTTTTGAGCACGAGTGCCCAAACCGCAATACATGCCAACTGTGACGAGACCAATCTCGCCACATTGCATTGGAGAAGCCTGGTTGCTCGCCTGCTGCCTTTGGACTATGGCCCCCTTTTAAAAGACTTTATTTTTGCCTGCAGAAAAGCTGTATTCATGCTTTTCTGCCTGGGGTTCAGTAGATTTGTTTGAATGTGTTATACCCCAGATAGGAATCCCATGGAGCCCATTTGTATGAAACTGACTGTAAAGACTTTGGCTCCATGGCGATTAAACTGTATTCGTGTGGTCTGAGCGCCATTCACTTAATAATGTGCGCTCAGACCTGAGCTATCTGGGGATATGTTACATGTCTGTGTTTTATGTAATAAATGTGACTTTATGTATTTTAAAGTGTTTTGTGTCTTTTTGCAACCATGTGCTTAATGGAGTCTTGTGTCTATCCTGGGAGATAATTGAATTACTTATCTCCAGGATAGAAGACTCTGAAACTGGTTTGGGCCAGAAAGCCATGCTTCATTTAGTCACAAAGGACTTTTTACTAACTTTTGAACCCCTTGTCTGATTTGTGCCATTTTTGAATATGTTGTTCCCCTGAATGGATTGATTGTGCATATGTAATTTTATGTGAATGTGCTGTATGGTTTGAGAGTTATGAAAGTTGGGTAGAAAGTATGTTTTAACTGTATGTGTAATTGAGTTTCCTCTCAGGATAAGGGGAGGGAATATGTGGGATGTAACTGTGATGTGATTGGTTGTTTTATACCTCCCTGTGGGCGGTCCTGTATTTGCAAGACTGTAATAAAACCAGGCTGGGTGTGCCAGCACCTCAGACCACTGCTTGACCCTCAACACGGAGCCTTGTCTCGTTCTTGGGGGGATTCACTGTATGCTGTTAGAGACTGATTGCCAGGAGTGTAAGCTGATTGTCTGCTTTTCCTGTTCGTCTGCTAGCAGCTACTTGGGAGGTTCCAGTTCGGGAGTTGGAGTGCTATTTTGTATCCAGTTCGTGAGTTTTGGTGTTCTGCAGTAGCTGTGCCTGATCTCTGGAAAGGGGGCCGAT